GTAAAAGCCAAATGCCTGAAGAAGTAAAACAAACAAAAAATCCTACCTAAGTAAATAATAAATGGGGAGATGATGGTCCCAATCCGTGCAGCCATGGAGCAAATCCCCATTGCTGTGTTTCTGATAACTGTGGGGAACAGCTCTGATGTGACAGCATACACCACACAGAATGCTGATGTGATGCCAAACTTTCCCAACATCTCAAGAAAAACAGCCACACCTGGTAAACCTATGGAAGTAAAAAACATTTAACATTACAGCACAACCTAAAAAGTCAAAAGAGATGCACATAACTAAGTGTTGTTTCCAACTTCCTCATGTAGCTAAATATACCTTACTTAATCATTCGAGCTGTGCAAGTGCTAAATATTCATGATCGGTCGATTAATATGAATTTTTAAACAATGCAGCCATGCTAAAGAGACTGCACTTAAGGCCTTTACACACAATGCATTAGATCGGTCCAAATATTTTGCACGTTAAAATATCTGTTCTAATTCTCACCGACTACAGAACTTCACTTGACGATTTGCCAGGATCTAGTTTAATGAACCAAAAACTTTTTGTCAGTTCCAAATAAATAGCTCTGACCAGTCAGGCCACTGCATCTGGCAACAGGTGCAATTGTAACTTAAAACGGACACTGTTACCGAGTATACAAATACTAAAAAAAATACCATTTTACATGAGACGAACAGCTACAGTAGCCACTGCTCCGGGTCAATGGCCCTCTGAAATTATTTCTCTGCCTCCTCAGATGTGGTTCCAACTCTGTCAACAAGTGCTAAAACTGCTCAACTGCCCTATTTTGTCTCAGTGCATTTTCTGGTGAAAATGCATTTGGAAAATTTAGAACTTTGTGTTGCTTTTTGCACGCGCTCAGTGTGTAATGCCCTTTAGACCCATGTCAGATTTGGTCACAGTGGAAGCTAAAGGTATTCAACTTGGTCAAATAACACGTCACATGCATTCTGAATACATTTTTATTTTATCAAGGTAAGTAAATGGGGTTTTGTTCCTGTTACATTTTCTGAGGACGAAGTGCAAACATTTGTTCATCCACAGTGTGAACTCATTAACAAGTGACCTGCTTGTAACACTTTAATCATTACCTATTGGAATGAGGTGGACACAGAGGATCATGACACCCCCGAGAAAGAGCGTGGAAGACTGGCAGAAGCGCCTGGAGCAGTACTTAAGCAGTACCAAGGCAATTATGTAAGCTGGAACTTCTACGACAGCAGACAAGAAGCTGTTTATGTAAGGGTCACCGTTCAGGTTGGAAGTGTTGAGGACTAAAGCATAGTAGCTGATGGTGATGATGATCCTGCACAGAAATTCAAAGCAAAACTTCATTTGACATAACAAGCAATTATTTTGGTTTAAATCTTTTAATCTCCTAAATCATATGAGCAAATTCTAGATGTACCACAGAAGTGAACATATCAGTGTAATAGAGAATATATTGCAGCTTTTCACAATGACCAAAATGTTTTGCTTCTCCTCCTTCATTGTGAGCGCATCTTCAATCTGTGGCAAAAAACAGACAAAGTGGTTAAACTTTGGATCCTGGACCTGCAGACTTCTGCATATGTGCTATAAAGCCATATAATGAATTTTTATAAAGAAAAATAGGCTAACTTGAAATGCAAACCTAAGCCAAGAGACAAGCATAATCATGGTGCAAATGTCAAAGGTTTTAGTTTTATTCTAACCTAATGCACATTTCTCAAAACACACTCTGATTTAAAATCACCAACTTGCTGATGCACTTACCTCAGCTTGTGTAAAAATTGCCTGTGGCGGCTCTACTTTGTTCAGCTTTGCAGCGTGCTTCAGGATTGCTTCAGCCTCGTTTACTCTTCCTTGAGAGATCAGCCAGCGAGGAGACTCTGGGACTATCCTGAGCAGACAAACACAGTGGCAACATAATATTTTCAGAGAAACACAAACTTGATCATTAATCTGATAGTAAAGCAAGACATTGACGACATCCCTGCCAAAACATCTTGTTGAGTTAGCTGTTTGTTGGTTGAGGTTGAATAGTCGTTTTTGTTTAGGAACGATCCTAAAGTAGTGAAATGACCCAGTATCTGAATGGCAGCCATGACAAGAGCTGATTGATCTGTATAAATGTTCAGGAAAAGTGCTTCAGTGATTTCACTATTTGCGCATCTAGTGTAGAATATGCTGGACTATCCTTCACAAAAAGAAAGGAGATGATCATGTCCCACAGTTCAAGGCAGCACACCATTCATAAAAAACAAAACAAGTGATCAACATGACTGACAAGGAATTCAGATCACGTTGCAAAGTTTGGGTCTGTTTACCATATAAGGCTGTAAATTTCTAATATGCTGACATGTTTTGGAGTCAGAGTTTAACAAACTAACCGGAGAAACATCCGGCGGGCCTGGGCTACAGCTTGGAGGATGTTTTCAGTTGAGTTGATATTTTACTTATTGGCCTTTCAAGATGAAAATGAGCTATTAGCTAAATCTGGTAAAATGAACCTTTTCTCTTAGGGGATTAATGTTTTTGACAAGTTAAGTGGAAAAATGAAACAAAGAGTATGCAACATTTTTTCTATAAATTAGACAGTTTTAATACTGGCAATGAAAATATACACTGTTCCAAACATATGGTTTATAACAGTGAAAATGACAGTGTTACCCCCTACTGTATTTAACCTTAAACAAACAAACTATGAAGTAAAAGCTGGTGTTTTGCTATCTTGAACTATAAATTAATGAATTACCCTTCAATAAGAAATTATATCTTTTTCTTGAGTTGAAAACAACTTTCAGGACACAAGCCATAATGCAACAAATGAAAAAGTCTCACCACCACAGAGGGACGTAGATCAATCCACAGGCAGCCATTGGAATCAGCAGCAACCGCCATTCCCGGAGGAAGTAGGCTGCTCCAGGCATTGCCATGTACCCCAGTGCTGAACCCATAAAAACTCCAAGAGAACAAAACGCCACTCTGGTTTTTGGGCTTAGAATTTCTGAACCTGTAAATGTCAAAAACAACATTTTGGAAAATTTGTAATATTGTTATAAGGAAAGCTCTGAAACTGAGCATTAGTGCAGTCTGTCTTACTGTCTTACTTATCAAATCAGATAAACCATTATGGTCTGGCATGAAGCACAATTCATATGTAGTTTTTGAGGTTGTAACAAGAGCTGTGCAAAAGTGATACATAGTATGTCTATATAACAGTTAGGAATTATGTTTGCTTATTTCTTGATTTCTTTATTCTTTCATTAAGGGCTTCCTAAATTTTATTGTACATCCAAGCAATTGACTTGTACTTCATGCACAGACAAAATTACTTAATGTCTGTGCAGCATAAAAAATCTCATTCCTTATTAGGAAAACATACCTAGCACAAATGCAATGATGTAGTTGGAGAATCCCCCAGCACCCACCAAAAAGAAAATGAAGGTGAAAATCTCCCAGCTTGGGGAGAATATCTGTGCTGTGATTGATACAGTTTGAAGCAGCATCATGATAAAGAGTATTGGTCTCCTTCCATATCTGTAAGGAAACACAGTCTAGTAGACTAGATCAACACAAATACTGTTCAAACATTGTTGTGTGGAGTACAGACCTGTCGGACACCAGACCTGAGATCAACGCTCCCAGTAGCACACCAACATAATAAATGGAGCTGGTGAGTGGAAGTTTGTATGCATTCTCACAAACCAAGTCCCACTGCAAAATCAGTACATCGTTTTCACTCACTTACAATTTGTGGTATACATCTGCAAATCTGTCAACCAATAAAGAAATGACAGGTGACTCAGATCGCAATTTAAATTAGTGGTAGGTTTTAAATCTAAGGTAATATGGTGATAAGTTCTGAAGTCCCACTGTAGGCAACGGGGTCCTGCATGGGCTACATCTTGGAGGATGTTTTCATGATATGCTGATATTTTACTGACTGGAATTCTCAGTAACTAGTTGAAGACAAGAATAGAATAAGAACTCACAGTATCTATGACTTCTGAATATGTAAAGTAAGAGTAACTCTCCCACAGGTAGAAAAACTTTTATTTTTTAATAGTTCCAGGTAATTGTTTGTGCAACAACACCAATAACTTCATTAATTTTTCATAATAACTATCAGTTAGTCTCCCCAGTACGGGGAGAATTTAATCACACGTACAATTTGTAAAACACCTACTTTTAACTCATATACACATATACTGAGAGAAAGTGAGAAAAAATCAGTTTATGTTAGGATAGTTATTGTTTTAGTCTTTTTATTTGCATGATGTAGAGGAAACATTGTGGTTTGATGTTGTTTTGATGCTTGAATGCTTTGCAATCACTGGGGAAAACAAGGAACTGTCAAACTTAAAAAAAAATGTAAGTCAAAATCCTCACCTGTGGCATGAGAGAGATGTTTGAATAAGATGAAAAGGACTAATAAACTAAAGAGCATTAATCTTAAATCCATTGTAACTGTAATGCAACTTTAATTGACAGTAACATTAAAAACATGATGCAGGATGCTGCTGGTTGCTGAGTAAATTCAAGTGTTTGTGTGACTTCTTTCAGTCTGCATAATTCTTGAAACAGTCATCTTTAAGCAAGATTATATTTTAACAAGCATTTGTGTTTGTTTTTTTACGGCACTAATGTACAAATAATTACTTGCTCGACTTCTAGTTGCTGCTTAATTTCCCATTAATAATAATATCACACACCATGAACCCTGTGTATAAGAGTAGAAAATTAAAGTTTGGCATTTTGACCTGTTGTTGTTGTACCTGGTGGGCTGCCAAAGTTTAGCAGTTTACATGAATTAGTTTTACTTTGCATAATAGCTTAATCATGTCATGGAAAAGTCTATGTAAAACTATCTTGTCTGAAATTCTTCACATCCAGCTCCATGCCAGGCACTTCACTTAAAAGCACATCTGGTAACACTGATAAGACTTTCTAGTTACTAGATTGGCAGATCAATGCTATACCTTGTGCATGCATGTTCTAGATAAATCTATGATGCTAAATAAAATCATGACAAATTTCTCACCTCGGTAACAATAGTTGACTGGTAGATGCTTTTGCTGTGTAACCACCCATCTATACAACTCTCCCAAGGTATTTCACTAACGTTCACATCGACATTTGGGATAATATTGTTCTGAGAGTAGTTCCTGACCACATCCAAGTTAAGCCTTGAACAGGAACTCCGCTTTGCATTGCCACTAACAGTTTCCAATGGGATTGTCACATTTTTCCACATCTCGCTGATGTTGTAGTTTTCAGGAATATAGCATTCGTGAGATGGAATAGCACCTATGAATACTATATAGCCGCCAATAAATCCATTTGGGAGAATGCTTATGGCCAGTGCTAAAAAAATCCTGAGCTGAAAGGGTCCCCAAGATCCAAGAAAAGCTGTGATGGTGTCATAGTCTCTGATTTTTACCGTATTCGTTACTTCACCAAAATCCTTCATACTTAAAAGAGTCAGTGCTGAATAGCCAGAAGATCGGATGAGCACTATTGGTCTAAGAGATTTCAGAGGTTGTGAACTGTAAAGCTGAGCTCAGGTTTTATATGCCTCACCTGATATGGGAGGTTACACAGTTACATAAAGTTTTTTTTACAACACTATTTGAGCTTTAGCACATGTTTTGTTGTGCTAAACAAGTGAATATCCTGTAGCTGAGGAGACTAGCGCATTATGACCACAGTTACACAAGATTTTGAAAAGTATTTTATTTAGATTTTAATATTTTCAATGACTTTGATGTTTTCTTCACAGTAGGTTAGGTAAATTAGACATACCAAATACTGTGCACAGAATAAAATTTCAAAACAAAAACAAGTAAAATAGAACTTTTGAAATAGAACAGATACCATGACTTAATAAATTGGATTATTTCAGAATATTTCAGAATTATTTATTTTCATTACAAAGAGAATATTGCAAAGGTTTGAGGTGGGACCTTATCTTTGAATGCCCAAAAACCTGTGAACCATGTAACCAGGTTTATTGTCCACTACCTGGGCGGGTACATGCTGATGGGCCAGCATGCAAAAAGGGCTGGAAGAAAAGGTTTCATTTGGGAAACATAAAAAGTAGGCTGGATCTTAAAAGATGTTGGAAGCTTGAGATAGACAGCTGATGTGTTAATGATGCTGGGGATGTTGTAAAGAGAGCACCACAGTCTCCCCCTCCTGGACTGGAAGCAAAGACGGTTGACATCCCAATGAAGCTTCAAATGGTGAGGCGGTTAGTGAGCATACTTAACCTAAGGACCATGGGGCCTTCAGAAGGAGGGATTGAGGTAGTGATACAGCACAGGGCAGCTTTAAGCTCCCGATTAGCCCTTTCTTTTTGATTGTTGAACTAGAATCCTGAGAACAAGCTAACTTTTGTGCCTAGTACTTCACGCAAAAACAATATATAAATTGGGAATGTCTGTCTGTCTGAGAAAATGTGTGAGGGAATGCAGTTGGAATACAGAGGTGGCTAACAGGAAGGCTTGAAAAAGAGCTGAAGGCAGGAACGAGCCTTGCTTTTGAAACAAATTGAACAGGTTGCACATACTCTCTCTGTAGAGTGGGCTACCAAAGGTTAGCTAAGAGATGGTGCCACTTTAACCGGGGCACCAAGCAAATCTGATAATGTGCACCCAAGGCATCACTTGCATGCGAACGAAGGAAGGCGTGAATACATGGGTCGGGAACAGTAAGTAAAATCACAATGCAAGCCAAGAGTGAGTATGCTGTTTATTAAGTTAAGAAAATAGGGTCTTTGGAACACGATGATCTAGCAATGCATTTTTCTGAAGCATTGGGATGGCGTGGACACAGAGGATCAGGATGGAGGAGGAGAGCTGAAGACTCGGAGAAGGTTCTGGAGCATTACTGAAGCAGTACCAAGACACTTCTGTAAGCTGGAACCTCCCTCAGCAGATGAGAAGCAGCTTAAGTAATGGTTGACATGCTGGTTTGATGTGTTAGGGGTTGAAGTGTAGTAGTTAATGATGATGACAGCGATCCTGCTAAGACAGAGTACTCATAACGAATGAGTTACCCTAATTTAGTTATTTCAATTACAAAGCTTAGTTTTTTTTTTGAGGCAATGGGTTTTACCTTATTTTTTGAAGTTCTTGGAAATAATTCGATTTTACAGTGTAGAGACTTCAGAGTAAAATTGTAAGACTGGAAATGCAAAATACACAACCAAATATCAAACGAATTAGGTGCAGTTTCGAGACTTAAACAACCAAACGTTTGTACTGTATCTAGCTTATGCATATGACTAAAGTTTACATTTTCATCTCTTGGTTTTAATACTTTTCACATTATATGTGGAAACTGTACACATACCACAGAAATGTAATGTTTTTTTCTTCATAGACAACAAATCTTCAAGGTGTGGGGAGGAAAACAACAAGATGAAACTGTAGTTAAACTTTGGATCCTAGATCTGTAAATGAAACACGACTTCTGCACACATGGTACAAAGTGATATAATGAGTGACCTAACACAAACAGGCTAACCTGAAATGCAAACCTGAGTCAACAGACAACAGGAACTCGAGTCTCTTGGTGTAAGCAAGTCTTAACCAAATACTTTTCATATTCACCGGGAACAAAAATATTTATATTTAATATTTGTTTATAGAAATATTTGTTTAACCAAAAAAAAAAAAAAAAAAAAGTCACAAAGCCCTCCTACAGCCTTTTCTAGCCTCTTCTGCTATATTACTTCCAGATGATAAAAAGGCCAAGCCAATGAAACTACATCATAATTAAATTATCTTTCATCTAGTTTTTAGAACCTTTGACCTTTTTAGCACCTTTGCAGATTGTGAAGATCACATATTCAAACAAACAACATATTTCCAAGACTCTTATTTTAGTTTGGGTCGAAATAGCCTCTGAGGGGCCTCTTACTTTATTCTTCTTAACAGCTTCTTCCAGAATGGCCTTTACGCTTCCCTGAGAGAGCAGCCAATGGGAAGACAACAATACTAACAATATAACTACAATATCTGACAATATCAATGTAACCAAACGATGACCTGGACACATCAAAGAAAAACTTAAATTGGATGTTAAAGTTTACTTTAAAATCACTTTAAAACAGTCACAAATTAAGCCATCACCATCGCTTATTAATTTCATATGATGGTGTTACCTTTATTTAGTAAATGGAAAAGGGACTGGATCTTATACAGTATTTCTGTTCTACTGGAGCATCAACGTGGTTTATACAACATGTCTCATTCATGCGTTGACACCCATTCAAACAAGCACTTTTTATTTTTTACAACTAAATGCTTTCTATTGAACATTAACATTTCAGATGCCAACTTGGGGTTCATTAACTTTCCCAAAGATGCTTTGACATCAAAACTTTGTGCTCAAACTACCAGCCTTCCAGTTACTGGATGACCAGTTCAACCTCCTGAGTTACAGCCACGACCATACACGTTGATTTTTTTAAATATTATTCAACCATCTTGTTGCTGATTGACTTCAGTGTAACTGATTTGTTGCATCATCTAACCTTCTTAAGCATCAAGTCACAACCAGTTTCCCTGGAAAATATCTTGATGCTGCCTTGACAATTATAGTTTCTCTAAAGATAAGATAAGATAAGATAAGATAAGATAAGATAAGATAAGATAAGATAAGATAAGATAAGATAAGATAAGATAAGATAAGATAACCTTTATTAGTCCCACACGTGGGAAATTTGTTTTGTCACAGCAGGAAGTGGACAGTGCAAAAGTTATATAGCAAAATTAGAATACAATAAGAATAAAATACTGTACACAACTGTACAGAATAGAATAAAATACTATATACAGTAGAATAAATAGAATAAAATATACAATAGGATAAAATAGAATACAAATGCTGTATACAACTGAGTAAAGGAGTGGGCCCTCTACTCCAAACAACCTGAGTCTACGCAGCAGGTACAGCCTGCTCTGCCCTTTCCTGGGCGTCTGAGTTATGAGTCCAGTCCAGTTTATTGTTCGGATGAACACCAAGGTACCTGTAGCTGTCCACAGCCTCAATGTCCATACCTTGGATGTTCAGTGGTTGCAGTGGAGGATG